AGTTTAGAGTGTGAACCTCAGGGTGATTGCATCCACATGGCCACAGTTGGAGACCTCACTGAAGTCTTTGAGACCCAAGAAACTTGGAGCTCAGAAATGTCCAGTAGGACCCACTTGGGCTCGACATCTCAGGGAGGGAGTCCCCGCCAGGTGGCAGCTCGTGTCCCCAGGCCACCTGGCAATGGGTGTTTGGGGAAGATGGAGGTCTGACAACCCAAAGGCCACAGGCTCTGACTGTCCAGTCTTGGAACCACTCTCCCTGCTCCCTGACATAACGTTCTGGAACCCTGTGGGCACACAGAGGCAGACCCTGCCTCAGTTTCCCTTCTCCATCAGTAGCTCTGCCTCTGGTTTACTGTGAGATCCTCTGGCCATGAGGACCTGGTGAAGGCTTGCAGAGCAGGGAGCATAAGGAGGAGCTTATAGGGCTGACATGCCCCCCCCCCGGGAAAGGGGATCCCCATTACAGCTTCTCTTTGTAATTTGGGGCCGCAGGACTAAGTGCCTCACCCTTCCCATCTGTCAAAAGGGGACAATGATTCTGGATCCTCTATTTTCAAAGATGTGGGTATTAACATGACAAAACATAAACTCACCCAAGGAGTTGTGACCTTCTGGAAGCAGCAGGCAGTTGTGGCTCCTTGCCAGCAAACAGCCATGGGCCAGCAAGCCGGTTCTGCCTACAGAGGCACCTGGGCGTCCGCCTGGGACCCTGGCCTAGAGCACTGCACCTTCCCGCCTTCGGCTAGCAGCAGAACCGGTTTCCCAGACACGGAGCGCTGATGTGGAAGCAGCACTGGGCTGGGAGCGGGTTCACTCTGAGTCGCCGAGGGACCAGAAGAAACTGCTTGGCTTCTCCAGGTAAGATGGGTTAATATTCCTTAGCCCATAGGGACTAGTAACATGCCCGGCGTGTGTAAAGAACCCAGGAAACAAGTAGGCAGTAGCTAGTTATCAAACCATGATGTTCTTTATTATCTAATCAAATACATCTGTTTTTACTAAAGAAGACACCGAGGTCCAGGGAGGCCCAGGGACTGCCCACTTGGAGGAGCACAGACAGGCGCACTGATCAGGACTGGGATTAACTTGTCGTGGCCTAAACTGCACAGAGAATCATTTGTTCCCCTCAGTCCGGTGGCTCTTGGGTGAAGGGCTGTCCTGCCTTCCTCCCTCTGCCATTAGCTCCTCTTAGAAACGCTCTCCCAGCCTCTCACTGGCTGAGATGAGCCCCGCCCAGCCAATCTTTGGCGCAGTTGTGGGGAGGGGGTGGAAAGCCCGGGCTCTGAGGAGCCACACCTGAGCCCCCAATCTGCCTGGAGCTGGGGCTTCTGGAACCCTGGGGGTAGACGGGGTTGGGCTGCCCAGAGGCACTGTCGCCAGTCTACCCTCTTTCTGGACAGTCAAGTGGTGCCAGCCCACAAGTGCTGAGCAACTGGTGTGAAGAGTGATGGGGACACAGGGAAGATGTCAAGGGCCAAGTGGTGCTCCAAGGAGCTCCCCCCACCTGCAGCTCAAGGCCATGGGAGGGCTGTGGGGTATAGGGAGGGCTGTGTGTGTCCTCTCTTCCAGACCCCCACCATCCCTCCCTGAGGCTTGGCCCTCTGGGCTTGTTTCTTTTGAGCCTAAAGGCTGTACTTTGGAGAAATATAGAAAAGGAAGAAGCAGCGTTTGAGGGGTGGTCTGGGGCTATCCAAGGCGCTGGGACTTTGGGGTCAGAAGGCAGCAGCTGGGGTCCTTGAAGGACTGCTGGACAGAGGCCCGGCAGAGGCTCAAGGGCTGGCTGTAGATGGTAACTGTCCTGTGTCCCTGGGCACGTGATTCCCTCTGGTTGGAAGTGTTCCCATCTGTCAAGCAGTTTGGACTAGTTTCTCTCTGAGGTCCCTTCCGGAAGGCACACAAAGCGGTTCCGTTTTCCTAAAAGGCTGTACGTAAGCCGGATAAAAGTGGCTCCCCACAAAGCCGGGGATCTGTTGATGGGGTGCATCGCAGCCCCGGCTTCTGCACCTGCGGGCGGGGACAGCCTGGACGCCGCTACCGGGCTGGCTCTGAGCGCGGCCACCTGTGGGCCGGAGTCCAGTGCCCCCTGGTGGCGCCCGGCGGGCAGCGGCCTCCGGACTGCCGAGGCCCGACGGCTGTGACTCAGGGGTGGCGCCTCTGCAGCGCGGCGGGAGGCCCGACTGGGGTTCCGTCGTGGGCCGAGCGGCGCGATTCATTACCAGCTGCGGGAATCCTTGTCGGCCGCTCGCGGTGACTCACCGGGAGGCCAGGCTCATTCGCCAAGCACAGGGGCTTCGGTTTCCGAAATGAATTCCAGGGAAGGGACTGTGGGGGCGGGGCGCCCGGCCCCTGTGCGCAGCAGCGCCCGCCGACCCAACGGAGACCCCATGGCCCAGACGCCTCCCACAGCTCTGGCCCTCTCGCCCAGGGGTCGTGGGCGCAAGCACCTGCGAGTCCCTTAAGTGGGGTGGAGGGCGCCCCAGCAGGGTTCCCAGACTCGCCGCCCCTGGGTCTCTGCGCATGGGGAGTCTGAGCACGGCCTGAGGGGGCGTCGCTGAGCGCTCAGCGCTCCGGCGCCCCCGAGCCGCGCACGGCTGGGTGGGCTTCCCGGGCCGCCTCCGCCCGGTCTCTCAGCCCGCCGCCGGGGGGCGTCCCTTTCCCCAAGTCTCCACCTCTTCCCTGGCTGGGGTCCAACCGGGGAAGGTCGCCAGATCCAGGCAAGGGGGAGCCCAGGGTCTCCGCGCTTTCGGCCTACCCATTTCGGGCTCCACCGCTCAAGTGGAGATTAAGGGGGTCGGTGGTCGAGGGAAACCCCTCGACGACCTCAAGGGAGATGGGGGAAGTGGGCAAAGGAGGCAGGTAGGCGAAAGGGAGAACGCCGGGCGAAGCCTCCTCCCCGGACTCCAGGAAGAGCCTGAGCTCGCTGTGCGCCTCCCCAGCCTGCTCGGCAGTGGGGCCGTCGCGAGGCGCTGGGGCGCAGGAGGAGGGGCAGCGTTATGTTCTGGGTGCGCCCAGCGCCCGGCCTCGGGGAACCAAGGAGTGTTTCTGGGAAAAGCAACAGGGAGGAGGGGACAAGGAAGGAGGAATGCGGCGGCACCCTCCCCGGAGGCCCCGACCCCGAGAGCGGCAGCCGCCCGTGACACCCTCCGCGCTCTCCGGGTAGGAGCTCAGGATCAGCAGGTGCCGGGCCACCTGGCCGGAGACGCTCGCGGGGACTGAGGCGGCCCTCGGGACCCCCGCGCGCGAGGAGGAGGTGCACCCGGCCGGTGGCCGCCCGGGGGAACGCCCTCCCCTCGAGCTCCCACCCTCCTCCGGGTCTCTCCTCTCCCTGAAGCCGCCGATCGGCCTTCTCGGGCTGAATCCCATTTCCTCCCCCAGGCCCGGTTCTCTCAAACTCTCGGCCCCGCGAAGCGGCAGGCGCTCTCAGGGAGCTGGGCTAAAAGGACCCCAGCGGCCTCGCTTATCGTCCCATCCCCCGCCGAAACCTGCCGGTGGCTCCGCCTCCCACCCCCACGCCGGCGACACCCAGTCCTCGGCCCGCCTCCGCCCCCTCCCCAGCGGCACCGGCCGCCCCTCCCTGGCTCGCTCCGCGTGCGCCGTGCGCCGCGCTGGGTCTGCAGCGGGAGCCGCCGCGGCCGCCTCGCCAGCTGGCTGGGGACCAGGCGGGAGGTGGCGCGCCCGGGAGGCTGCGGGAGGGGGGAGGGAGGGAGGGAGGGAGGCCTGGCCTCCGCGTAGCCCGGCCCCCGCCCCCCGCGGCCCTCCCGCCGGAGCGAGGCGCCACACGCGCGCGCGCGCGCACACACACAGACACACACGGGCACACACACACACACACACACACACGGGCACACATACGCACAGACACACGCACACACACTCGGCTCCCTCCGGCGCGCACGCACGCTGCGCCCCTGGCAGACCAGCGCCGCGGCCGCCTCCCCGGACGCCCGGACGCCGGAGGGCCCCGACCCCGGCGCGGCTCATGCGCCCGCGCCCATCCCGCAGCTCCGCGAGGCCCGCGGGACCCCTCCCGCCGCCGCCGCCGCCGCCGCCGCGTCCGCCGCCCCCGGAGGAGCGGGCTGGCCGACCGCCGCCGCGCCGTCCCCGGGCCGCCCCCGAGGCCGCTCCGCCGCGGGCCCTGCCGCCCTGGGGCCGCGCCCTGCTCCCGCGCCTCGGGGGCTGAGCCGACCAAACTTCGCGGACCGGCCGACGCCCGGCGGGGACCCCGCTGCGTCCCTGCGCGCCCGGGTGGGCGCGGGGCGCTCGGACCTTCGGGCATCCGGCGGCCCCGCCCGCTGCACCTGCTCGGCCCCCTCCCCGCCTGCTGGGGACTCCGGAGACGCCGCCACTTCGCAAACTTTTCCACCCCCCCCCTCGAGGGGGGGGCGAGGAGGGCTGAAGGGGAAGGAGGTCCCGCGAGGCGCGCGCGCAGACCCGCGGGCTCCTAGCCGGGCGCCGCCGCCCGGGAGCCGGACCCGGAGGGGCGCGGGCCCCGGCGGCCGCCCTCCGACTGCGCTCCGGCTCCCGCTCCCGCCCCTGCTTTTCCGGCGGGAGCGGGGGGCGGGGTGCGGAGGGCAGCGCGGCCCGCGCGGTGCCCAGCGGGGCCGCCGTGCATGGCCCTGCGCAGTGGGGCGGGCTGCTTCGGCCGGGTCTGGCGCAGGGTGTCGGGGCTCCCGGACGCCTGGCCCCGGCGCTCGAGCAGCCTCCTGTGCCTGTCCGCCTTCTCGCCCGAGCCCGGGCCCGCGCCGCCCCTGCCCCGCCAGCCGCCTCGCGGTGGCGGCGGCTGTGGCGGCCCCGGCGGAGGGGGGCCCCCCCAGCCTCCCCGCCCCCCGCCTCCCCGCTGCTGCTGCTGCTGCTGCTGCTGCCGCCGCCGCTTACAACTTGGAGGCGGCGGCGGCGGCGGCGGAGGAGGCGGCGGCGGCCGCCGGGCGCTGCAGTGGGACGCGCGCGGCTGCGAGCCTGCGGGACATGCCCCCCGCGCCGGCTCCTTGCTGGCGGCCATGAAGAGGCAGAACGTGCGGACTCTGTCCCTCATCGTCTGCACCTTCACCTACCTGCTGGTGGGCGCCGCCGTCTTCGACGCCCTCGAGTCGGACCACGAGATGCGCGAGGAGGAGAAACTCAAAGCCGAGGAGATCCGGATCAAGGGGAAGTACAACATCAGCGCCGAGGACTACCGGCAGCTGGAGCTGGTGATCCTGCAGTCGGAGCCGCACCGCGCCGGCGTCCAGTGGAAATTCGCCGGCTCCTTCTACTTTGCCATCACGGTCATCACCACCATAGGTAAGGGCTGGGCGCGCCGCCGCCGGGCTCCCCGCGCCCCGGGAGGAGTCCGGGGAGGCGGCTGAGCGCGCGGCGCAGGGCCGGGTGCGGGGCGCCGAGGGTTAAACGCAGCTTCGTTGCCGGGGGCCCCTCCCGCCGCGCCCCCTCCTCTCTGGGGAGCCCCCGCCTCTCCCGCGCCTCCGCGCCTCACCCCTCGCGGACCCCACCCGGTGCCCCGCTCCGCGCCGCTGTCTGGGCCGGGCGTGCGAGCCCCGAGCGAGCGTGCCGGAGCCGGGAGGGCGGAGGCGCCACTTTTGCGAAGAGAGTGGAGCGCTAAGAATAATCCCATAGCAGACACCCACCCACCCACCGCCCCGGCGCGGGCTGGGCTGCGCGGGGTTCCAAGCCTTACACTTACTACCTCTCCGGGACTTGGAGAAGGCTGGCCTGGCTCCGCGGCGCCGAGAGGGACTCGGGCGGCAGGGGACCCTCGCAAGCCTCCAGCCTTCTCGGAGCCCAGATCCCAGCTTTCCTTCCTCCTGGCTCCTCTTCGATTTCTGGAGCCTGGTCGTGCCAGGCCCCCAGGGGGGAGAGAGTTTACTCTCTGGTGATTGGGGTTGGGGTGACAGCCGTGGTGAACTGCTGCTCTGTGGGGGCGGGAGGGGGCGCAGGGCAGGACCTGTCGGCCGTGCTGTGACAGACAGTGGGTGAGGCGGGTCTGCAGAGTGCCCAGAAACTGGGGAGGTTCAGCCCTGGTCTGGGGAGAGAGTCCAGTTGGTACATCCGGAGGACTCCTGTGGGTCCCTCTCCCAAGGGTGCTGGCTGGAGAGCAGAGTCCCTTGGTGGGTGCCCAGGGCAGTGCCCCTGCTGAGGTGAGGGGGCGCTGGGGAGCCCATGCATGTGACACTTGGAGACCCTTGGGAACGGGAGCAGGTCACTTCAACCCAGTGGGCATGGCAGCAGGTAGGGTGGTGTCTCTGTGTCCCCGTACAGCACCCTGCCTCTGCACAGCCATCTCCTCAGACCTGCCAGGGCCACTGTGTTGGCTCCGGTGGCCTCTTTTCTGTGCCTGTCCAGTCCCTTGTGCTGTGAGAAGAGGCTCCCCCCCCCCCCCCCCCCCCCCCCCCCCCTGACTCCTCTGGACTTCCCCCTCTAATTTTCCCCTTGATATTTTTCTTTGTCTGGAAAGCTCTGTGTGCTGAAACGCAGGCTCTCTCCGTGCCATATGCAACAGGAAGTGCCAGCACAGGACGGCCTGTCTTTGCTTCTTGGTTGAGAAGACTTTGTAGAGAGTCATCTTGTTTGAAATGTTTAATTCATTGGTGCGGGTTTTTATGTTTTTGGAAGGAAATTGCTCTTCTGTTGCCTACGTAACTAGCTTTGCTCCTTGCCCCACGCGCTTGGCCCAGCGGCCAAAACACAGAAAAGTCCTTCCTTCCCCACACCCCACTTGCCTCCAGCGCCTGGAAGGGCCAGGCGGTCATTACCGTCATTTCTGTCTCTACGCTTCCAGCATGAGCTGTGGCGGTCACAAACGCACATGGCACCCATCCTGGGGTTCCGGGGGCCTGTTTGCTGGAGAGCCCAAGGATAAGAAATGGGCCTCTAAAACCTGACTGTCCCGGCGGGGGGGGGGGGGGGGGGGGCATCTGACGGCCGTTGATTTTCCTCACCTCACTCCTCAAGTTTTCAACCTGAGTTTCTGGAAAGGAAGGTGGGGGTACAGATGCAAGAAGATGGAAGAAAACCAGCTGCCCTGACACTGAACTTGGAGCCCAGTGATCTGGCTTGCAGCTTGAGTCTGGCCATCCTGGCGGACCACAGGGAGGTCATGTCTCTTCTCCCGACCTCAGTTTCCCTACCTGTAGGCGCCTGACACAGGGCTCACCTGCCAGGCTGGCGGTGGGCTCCCAGATGCCTGTGGCACCCCAGCACAGCGCAAAGCACTCCTTCGTCGGTGTGAATCCACACTCTTTGACACGGGCCTGAGGGGCTGAGTCCGCGCAGTCTGCCCCGGGAAGCTATTTAGCCCAAGAGCTCAAATTTACAGGAAACAAAGCACCTTTCTAGTTAATTCTGTTTGTTTTCTTCTTTTTTTTAATATAAATGCAAATTAAGGTCCTCCTAGGCCTAGAACAAAAAGCAGCCCCAAGCCAGGCCCTCTGAGGAGCTGTCTCCTAGTGGACGGTGATATTAATGAGTCAGGTGAACCTTCACGGGCGTTCTTATTTTTAATCTAACCTTGAGTGAGCGGGCTTCAACTTTGAGCTCCGGTCCACCAGGTGGGCAGGAACCAGTGGACTCGTGGTCTGTGAGTGAACGGCGTTTCTCAGGTGCATCTCCTGTGAGATGGGTTTTAAAAAACAACACAGTTACCACTTTACATCGGCTCCGCCTGCCTCTGTGACAGGCTGTGAGGGGCTGGTGTGTGAACCCCACCCAGCTCTCTGCTGGGGAGGGGGGTGGTGGGCAGGTCGGCCACGGCCATGGCCACCACTGACGGAGGAAGGCAGCACAGGCCCAGTGGGCCCCGAAAGGGCACATCCAATGCCACCGTCCACCGCCTCCTGATGCTGTTCCTTCTTGTCTCCTTTTTGACATTTGCGCCATCTAAAGCTGCTTGCGGGATGTGGTGGCGTCGACTTCCAAGCGGCCGGTGTGGACGATGGGAGCCCTGCATCCATATCTCGCTGTGCTCGGCTGCTTAGCAGGATGGAGGGTTGGAAGCTTCTGTCTGGCAGGGCCAGGGCCTGGCTTGAATTTCCTGCTTGGGGCAGAGGCCTAAGGGACCCCCACTCTCCCAGCAAATTTGCAGGCTTCCTGTAGGAGGCGCTGTGCCCTACAGTCAGTGCCTGGCCGACATCAGAGGGGAATCTTCAGGACCCTTAGGTTTTGAATCTAACATCTGTGATCTAAGTTGTCACCACCTTTAGGATCCTCAGAGAGGAAGAAACAATGCTCAGAATTCAGATCTCCTCTGCAGGGTCCAGGAGGGCCATTTAAAAACTGGTCTGTGTAGGGGAAGGAGGGAGGGAAGGAGATGCGGGTTTTCTGTTTTGGCGGCAGTTTGGAGGGGCAGTGTCTCTCTGGGCCCTTTGGGCTCATCTGAAGCCGGGGTGGCTGTCCCAGGAGCTGAGGTGACAGGCTTAGGAGCCTCAGTCTGGTGGCTGGGGGTGGGGCACACCCTGAGAAAGAGTTTTGGGACCCCTGTAAGCTCCTTGCTCAGGGTCCACCTCCGGCTTGAAGTCAGAGCGCGGAGGGGCACTTCCCTTTCCTCGTTCATGAACAGAACCTGAATGGAGCTTTCACCAAGTGGAAAGCATTTTCTGTTTCTTTCTGGCACTCTTGGGTGTAGTTTTTAATACCTAGTTTACACACTTGCCGTGGGCACGTGGGCCTGCCCCGACTCAGTCCTCCGGCATTGCCTCTGAGACTCTGGGGACAGCGAGATGATAAGGCCTGGCCTTGAGGCTGGCGGGAGCTGGAAACCCAAACAGTTGCTCGCAGGGACAGCGAAACTCCGTTAACCCTTTCAGTGCCTCAGTGCTGTGGGCGCAGACGGGCCAGGGGGCGCGTTCCTCGGCTGGCCCTTTGCCTCCTTCTGGCAGGTCCTCACCCTCCAGGGAGGCTTGGCCTTTCCCTCGGCCACTCACTGCCTCCCTGAGCAGCACCCCAGGCCCCTGGTCCGCCCCCTGTGCCAGCATGGTCTGTACCATCTGTCCTGCCCCAGGCAAGCTGTGTCTGTGCCCCCACCCCACCCCTGCGGGCATCTCTTGAGAGCACACAGAGTGGAAGCAGGCCCAAATGGATCGAGCGGTCTGGTGCCAGAGGGAGCATGGAGCTTCCACACACCCGGGCTCCCTTCACCCGCAAGACCAGTGGGGGCATTGCCCTCCCTTGATGGATGAGGAAACCGAGGCGCCGGTGAGGCAGCACACGCGGAGGCAGAGGGCTGTGAGCTCCAACTATGGCGTTGTCCCAGGAGCCAAGGATGGGCCTGTGGAATATTCCATCCGCGTCTTCTGCTTCTCCCTTTCACTCTGCTGTTTAGGAGGCCCGGTCACCCAGCTCACAGGGCCTGGACAGGAGGTGTTTCCTTGCTACTTTCTGGTGTGGCCACTGGTGGTGTGCAGCAGGCTCCTCCGCCGCAGGCCCCGCCTGGCCCCGGCCTCGCCCCAGGTTGCGGTGGCCCTCCAGTCAACACTGCCTGTTTATACGTGTCGTGGAGGAGGCAGAGAAGTGAGGCTCCTTGTGACTCTGGGTGGCACGGAAGACATGGCTTTCCTGAAGTGCACAGAGACACCTCGCCAAGTGCTCTGAGGCAGGGGCAGGTATCAGACGACCTCCACTGTTCCAAAACCCATTGCCTTTCTTTCCCGGGTCATCTCACCAGCGAAGTCCAGGGAGGTCAGAGCGGCTGCAGGAGGTGACGCAGGCCTCAGTGTACATCTATCCTCCGCATGCACCTGTGTTCACACCTCCATCCTTCCATCCATCCCTTGCACTCACTCCCTGGGCTCTTCAGGCGCCTGTGTTCACACCTCCATCCATCCATCCATCCCGTGCACTCACTCCCTGGGCCCTCCGGCGCCTGTGTTCACACCTCCATCCATCCTGTGCACTCACTCCCTGGGTCCTCCAGACGCCTGTGTTCACACCCCCATCCATCCATCCCGTGCACTCACTCCCTGGGCCCTCCAGCACTTGTGTTCACACCTCCATCCATCCATCCCGTGCACTCACTCCCTGGGCCCTCCAGGCGCCTGTGTTCACACCTCCATCCTGTGCACTCACTCTCTGGGCCCTCCAGCGCCTGTGTTCACACCTCCATCCATCCAACCCATCCATCCCGTGGACTTACTCCCTGGGCCCTCCAGGCGCCTGTGTTCACACCTCCATCCATCCATCTATCCGTCCTGTGCACTCGCTCCCTGGGCCCTCCAGGCGCCTGTGTTCACACCTCCATCTATCCATCCCGTGCACTCGGCCCTGGGCCCTCCAGGCGCCTGTTCATGCTCTGT